GCAGAGATTTCAGGTAACATGAAGGAGTTGAGTAGAACGCGTTGACTAATGAACCGTTGATTGTCTTTTGTTGGTTTCTCTAGAAAAGGATAAATGAATAAATAAAATAAAATATAATTGTATATAATATACCACATCTGAGATGATAAAAATTTTGATTTTATAAAATCGATGATAGAAAATACACAAACAACAATTTTACAATACAGAAGTGGGATGACAATGTGATGATAAAAGCTTAATAAGTTTATTTGCAATTATTATCGACAAGAATGAGATTTTGGTTTATCAACACCAACTGAACTTCTAGTCTTCCAATCGAAGAGCTGAATTTTATAACAAATTTTTACTAAGTTTTTCTACATTTTTTTACTCACTTAATAAGTTTATCCATATTCTTATACCACAAGTCAGCAATTTGATAATTAAAATCTTCGCCCATGGTCAAAATTATGTTGTCGGTCTGATAAGATGCAGCTTGCATTTTTGAATATTCTATAAATTTATCGATCTACGAGATACAAGAAATTTAGAATAAAAAATTACTCTAGAGTGATGGTTGCAAAGAACTTTCGTTAATTTTAAAGGTAAAATTCAGGGCACGAATTGGTCGAAATTGTTCTTCATGGGCGCAAGATGGAATAAGACTGATTAATAGACAAACCAAAATTGGATAAAATTTTGATCTAAATTTACCAAGCAAGGTAAATTTTGAAGGAATACTTAGATCATTCTTTTAAGCATATATCAACCACAAACATATTGGAGAATTCTGGACAAGGATAATGTAAAATGGATGAATAAAAGCAACTGAAACCTGATGAAGTGTGTTAAATACTGAATAAAAATTGGGAACACCAGAAAACTGGTTTCAATATATACTCAAACTGCAAGAGGTATTATCCAAGATGATTAGTATGATTCCACCATTAACCAAGACACAACAATAATGAAGATTTATATTACAATTATCCCGATCCAAATTTTACCTGATCAATTTATCCATATTCTTGAAGTACATTTGTGCATCCATATAAGTAAAATCTCCACCCATTGTCAGAACAACGTTATTAGTTGTGAAATGCTTAGCTTGGGATTCCACAGCCATTAGGAATTCGTTAATCTTATTAAAATTTAAAAATCAGTAATGGATTTCAACAGCAAAAGTTCTTTGTAACCATCATGTATAGATATATAAAACCAGAAAAAATAGACACTTACCCTTCTGTCTACATTGTAATCGTAACTGCGTTTATCGTCAATAATTGGTTCGTCCTGGCACAAAATATCGAAGCAAAAACCTGGTGGTGGTCCATAGTTGTTGTAGAGGACTCCGGTGAATAAGTCACCAGCTTCACCTAAAATGTAATAAAAATATCATTGTAATTGGAAAATGGAGTCCAGCAAAATATAGTTCATTCCTATGTTCTAACACTTGAGAACTGACTTTTTAAGCTTATTAAAAGTTATGCTGTTTTAAATATGAACTAATTATTTTTTGCTTGTTTCTAAAAGTTGCCATGTTTTAAATCTAAACCAAATTTCTTGACTTCTGAACTTCTCCCATTCTAAATCTAAACAAATTTTTTGGTCTATGTACTTCCTAAAAGTCACCCTCAGTCTCAACTAAATTTCTTGTTTTTTTACAGAACTCCTTTTCTAAATTTAAACCAAAATCCTTGATCTTTCTCAAAAGTTGCTTAATTCTAAATCTAAACTAGTGGTGTATGGCATCGTGCCTTAAGACAAATTGCTGGAACTTCCCGTACCGCAACGAAATGTTCGAGAAATATTAAATGTTTTCAAATAGATTATTATAAATACTGTAACAAACATTGTCCAATATTTATAAGAATTATATAAACTGAATTACAAAGTAAAAAAATACTTATTTAAAGTATATATAGAAGAGCTTTGGATCTTTAGCCAGAATTAAAATTAAAATTTTAAATTATTTTCGATATACAAGAACAAAAATTTTTTTTGGAAAAACAGTTAATATAGAAATATTTTTTTCCAAAAGCAATTGTTTTATCAACACAAGCAGAAAGTTGTTTGAATAATTGAAATCGCATGCTTAGTTCTCCCAAAAACTCCCATTTTTTGTACATTTAGCTCTGTATCCTCAAAAAGGCTGGACCTGCCTTTGCCAAATACTAATCACCATTCTCCCAAAAAAACAAATTGAATGCTTTTTGGATCATTAAAATCGGATACTCCGTTCTCTCAAACTCGATTTGTATTTTCTGCACTCTTTGCTCCGTACCTCCGTAACGGCTGGACTTGCCTTTGCCAAAAACTAATCAGCACATCTCCCTATCAATAGAATCGAATGTTTTTTAAACCATTCAAATCGGCTGATCCGTACGCCCGAAAACGTGGACTAAAAAATGCGGACATAAAAAACACCCGCACACACACACATCTATTTAGTTTCTGAGGTATGTCTCTTAAAAATGTTCAGAAACCTTCAAAACGTCGAGAAATGCAAAAATTTTCATTTTCGATTTTCGGGCCATTACTATAATTACCCTACGAGAAGTTAAAAACAAAGAAACTACTTTCTCAATAATATACATCTTTATCTCTATATTTGTCAATCATTTTCCTCACCAAGATTATCACTGGCATGCCACAACATTTCCGGTTCCTTCTGCTCCAATCTCCTCATCTTGTCCTGGTAATCCAATCTGCCCAAAAACATACCATCGAATCCCAATTGGGCAAAAATCGATGCTTGTTCCCTGGAGTGACCGAATGGGTCGATTTGCCAACCTACTCTTGGCCTGGCGCATTCACCGAGGGTCTCGTTCAAACGCCTAAGGGAAAAGAAAATTAATATATATATAAATAAATAGAATAAAATAATCTTATATATAAAAATAGAGCTCTCGATAAAATAATCCGCTAAAACTCGAAAACGGCTAAACCGATTTGGCCAGTCTTAGTCTTGAAAAATTCGTGCCGATCCAGAGATAGTCGGAAAGGTGAGATATTATTTCAAAATCGCGTAGGAACTCTACATTTTTAATTTGAACATTTTTGTAGAAGCGTAATTTGAATAAAACAATGGACGGTGGCTAATACGTCAAATGTCAAACGTTTTTGACAGATGATGTTCAATTACGCTTAATAGGATGTTTTATGTGAATATTATTTAATTATGATTAAATTGTAGTAAGCAGTTTTGTTTGTAGTTTTATTTATAGACCAAAACGTTAGTAAACGGGCCGCAAGTGTTACTAGAAACTCAAAATATCAACTTTTTCGAAATGCTAATATGAAAATGCACTTTTTGGCGTTGTAGCACTCTTTTTCTGCAAATCATATTTTTCTCAAACACGGTGCTCTGAAAGATCTCATTTGTATAATTATATACTCATTGGTATTTATAAAACATTTTCTAGGTTATATTATTTTTTATTTATGTTATTTAAATTCAGAACCGAAATTTGGTATCGATCAAAGGGACATTTTGTCGAATAGCATTTTCCCAGTTATAATTTCCCACAATTTATCGAACAATAGATAGTAATATATGAAGGTCCGGGGTTAAAAAGATCCACCACCGATGTGTGAAAAACCAGTAAAGTTAAGCATTGTTTAACAACAATATTTGAAAGTAGAGGGAAAAAGATGTATAACCAGCTATAACCTTGATTCTCATGACTTTGCTATCGGGAGATAAACGAAAATCTTTGAAAATCCATAATAAAAGTATTTTCTTCCGTTGGTAGTTTTTTTAGCATTAGTTAAAAATGTAATTATTTTGAAAAATACCTTTAAAATTAAAATAAGACATTAAACCTGTTTGCCACCTGGCCTAGATAACAAATTTTTGAAAGACAGCAAAAAAGCACATTTCTACAATGAAGAAGTAGCTGGCAGTTTTACTGAACGTAGTCAGATAATTGTTCGTTTGAAATGTGTTAATTGTTGTGATATAATTGGATTGATTTTTATAATATAATTAATATTTGCTCAAAGTCAAATTGGACCTTTTGTGCCTCGCCCTGCTCTACATATATACTTTTTATTAAATTTACTTTAATTCATCTAATGATATTTGAAACTTTTCAAAAAGAAGGTCAAAGAAGAAATACTTAATTCATTTTCTATCTCTGATCGCAGAAATTTGAAAATTTTGTATAAGCTCAGTGGTATTATTTACAATTGTACACAAAATCCAGAATCCAAAAAGGATCTGAAAAACTTGAAACGTAATCAATAAGTCGAAAGACCAAAAAAGACTTGGATTGGCATATAACATGTTTTCTATAGAAAGTGTATAAAACTTCCAGACAAAATATAGACAAACTAATGGGGTTTATTGTTTTATAATACGTCATTGTATTCAAAGCATTCAACCAACACATCCTTATACACTAAAAGTATTAATATTTTTGATTCTATAGAAATTGTTTAGAATATACCTTACTTAGCAAAACAACGTTTAAATATAAATATATGGGTATAAACTTTTTTGCTACACAGTCTATTTGTAACAAAGTGCTTTGAAGCAAAAATTAAAAAATAGAAGATCTTTGATTAGTAAATTGAATTCAAGCATTTGATTGACTCAATTTTAATTGTTCTTTTCCTCATAAGCTTTTTAGGGCTTTTCTATGATATTAATTTCTATTTCTATTATTATTTACCTGAATCCCCATGTGAACTGATCAACGATGCTCTGATAGTGGGTGACTGCTTCGTCGTTCATGCTCCAGGCGCCTCCAATGATCTCCAGGCGACCCTGGTCGATCAGCTCGCGCACTTTCTCCTGGTGTTCTCGTGTCTGTTCGCGCCACCATTTCATCAAAAATGCTGATTCGACGTAAATGAATCTAGAAAATAGATAGTCGATTTAGAAACAAATTTGCTAAAATATTTTTTTGAGTTTAAGTGTTTTTTTAATCTTTACTTATATACCAATTTGCTACTAATTTTTACTTGTGAACAACTACTATTTTTTTTTTTTGTTTTCTTTAATAAAAATTTAATTTCTTTATATTATTTCTAGACCTTTGGGGTCAATTAGTCAAAATATTTATATGACCCAACAAAATTTTCTTTTATCCCCAGTATCATTATTACAAGCAGATAAGCGTAATATACAAAAAATAATGATTAATACCTAAATAAACTACCTAATTGTTATATTTTAATTTAGTTTAGATAGTTTTTAGAAATAAAAATAAAAAAGATTCCTTCGAGCCGGATTTGAACCAGCGACCTATGGATTTCGGCATTTGTTTACATTCTACAGTCCACCGCTCTACCAACTGAGCTATCGAAGGTTGTTTATATAGACCCCAAAAAACGATAACATTTTGGAAAAATTTGACACGTGCACTGAGGGTTACAATATTTTTTTAAAGATAATTATTTATAACAATTTTATTTAATTTATACAAAATTAGAGCGTGCGGTAAACAAGATTATTTTTTATATTTACCAAACAATGACTTGAATTTTTTTGCAAGTTTGCAAGAATAATAGCCATGTTCGATTTTTTTTGTCTTGTTTATAATGATGTATAATAATTTGCTTCGATTTCACAATTTGCTAAATGCGAAATATCTCTAAAAAAGACACAAGTAGACAAGATATTTTAAATGTATCTAAATTGCAAGACGATATGATCTAAATCAGGACTTCTTAAACTATGGCCCCCGACCCCAAATAGGGTCAAATAGGAAAATTCTAGGGTCGCGCGAGATTTTAATGTCAAATATGTATATCATTTTGTCTTGATTTTTTTATGTTCTCAATGAATTTTTAAACTATATATTTTCATATGTATTTGTATATGTATATTGTTAGCAAATAAATAAATGATTTAATTTTTATTTTTATATGTGTAGGGTCGTCAAGAAAGTTTCAATGATAAATGGGGTCGCCAAGAATTTCGCAATCGTAAATGGGGTCGCAAACGACAAAAGTTTAAGAAGCCCTGATCTAGATGTATGTTAAATTTTAGCAATAAGATAACAGAACAAGCTTATTCGAGTATTATATAAGTGATATAAGTGATTTGTTTCCATGTTTAAATTAGAGTTGAAATTTAATTTAATTTCATAACAAATTGCAAAGTGAACAGACTGAATGAAAATAGAAAGGACTCTACTAACGAGTAAACTACATTTTTTATACTACTATTATCGATCAGTAATAGAAAAGGAGTCTACCGATAGTCAAAATAGAAGTAATTTTAAAAAAAATAAAAAAGCATGATAAAAGGAAAAGGTATAATATCGAGATTTCAAACATTTTTGAAAATTTCAGCATCCAAAGAAATTGAGCTCATTTGAAAGAAAAATTCAATAGATTAATATATTTGTATATTCTATATTTATGTTTTTTTAATTTTTTTAAAATTACTTCTATTTTAACTATCGGTAGAGTCCTTTTCTATTACTGATGGATAATAGTAGTATAAAATTTCAGTTTACTCGTTAGTAAGGTCCTTTTTCTTTTCATTCAGTCTGGTTCACTTTGCATTTTGTTATGAAATTTAATTAGATTTTAATTTTAATTCAAACATAAACAAACTACTTATATAGACAATATATTAATGAGCAATCTAAATTTTAAAAATGAAAAAATATTATTAATTAATATTACATACTTCTTAGCAGGATCTTTGATGAGTTCAGCAACGACAGAATCCAAAATATACTGCACACCTGCCTTCTGGATTGTATTTCTACCTATAAATAATTTTTTTCATAAATTGTAAAAAATACAATATCTTTAAAAAAACTGTAAAAAACTTACATGACAATTGAATATTAATTTAACATGTATTGTGAATGTTGGGAAATATATACTAATTAATAGATGATTCAAATTTATTATGTTTAAATTTAATTTACTTTCAGACATGTCAAATCAATTATTTATAGTAACCAAAATGGCTGAACTTGGTTAGATTAGTATTAAAATTAATATTATTTTTAAATGGCATACCTTAATACTTTGATTTGTACAAATAATTGTAAGACACACTCATTTTTAAGCTAATTAGATTTTCAAAATTTTTATCACTTTTCTTTTATTAGAACAGTTAGAATTTTAATTATAAATTTCAAAACCGCCACATTAGCATTCGACATTCTTGAACAACTTCATGTGTGTTTTTTTATGTTTAAAAAATTACCAGCGTTACCAACCTATTTGTTTAAATATTTGAATTCAAATTTTAAAATGTGCAATTTAAGTTAAATACAAAATTATTAAATAGAAGTTTCTGGAAATGTTGTGTTATTTGAGAATTTGTTAGTTATTTACAATTGTCTACAACTCAGGTGAAATGCTGTCGCTTTGCAACTAATTATGTACGTTTCGATACTGCATTTGTGCCATCATTCAATGAACAAAAAATCTAAAGTATATATATATATATATATATATATATATATATATATATATATTATTGATTATATCTTTATGTAATTGTTATGTCTCGATGTTATTTAATATACCTATCTCTAAATAAATATTTATCCTTATCGCCAACAATGATAATTAAATAACAATAATAAATTGGACAGATAAAAATAATTCCAATTCGTATAATCTTTAATCTACATTTCAAAATAAACAAAACTTAAATTTCTTGATTAAAAATTTCTCAAATAGATTTCACGTGGATAAAAATAAAATAGATAAGGCTATCTAGAAAATTATATATGTTCGAAAAGTTTAAGGAAAGATTATTATATAAAAAACTAGTTGTAAGTGGCATTTTGCCTTAAGACAAGTTGCATGTCTAAATCATTTTTTTGTTATAATTTATTTTTGTTAATCCAGACTTTAATGTCTTATTTGTATAAGCAATTGACTCGATTTTTCCATTTCTACGTATTTTCAACAAAAAACAGTGATTTGCTAAATATTATTTTTCTATTAAATATTAGTTTAAAAAACAGAAATTTATTTCTTAAGTATAAATAATAAAATCAAATTATTTGCGATTGATTTGCTTAATATTTTTGAAATTATCACTATTTTATCAATTTACAAGATAGCAAAAAATCGACATTTCGATTTCGAGAATCATCAAAATTTTATCTTTATTTTGCGAAATGTGTAGCGTTATGAAAATTTTTACTGATTTTATTGACTGATTGGAGTTATTTTGAGATATTGTAATGTGTCTAGACAAATTAAGAAAAAGGAAATGGAAATAATACTATTTAATTCCTAACTAAAATTGTATATAATACTTTGGCATAATATGTACCTAATTGTCTTTATACCAAATTATTAATCTTGATTCAATCAATATAAAATATACTATGTAATTTGAAATTTATTTTCGTATATAATTCATATTAGATTTTTTTCTACTTACTTCCATAATAATACTGGTCAACAGTTTTCAACCAGCCTACATCGTCGTGGGTGTGTGGCACCAGGTGGACGTTTAGCATTCCTGGTTTTGGAACAGGACAACTCTGGAAAAATGATATTTATGAAAACCATTGATATAAAAAAACAACATTATATGACTCTGAAAGATTTTTAACAGTGGTAGTTCAAGCACTGCAAACTCCTATATCATTAGAATGGTTAAAATATATCGAAAAACTTTATAGAACATTTTTCTCAAAATTAAGCTCGCTATCGATGCCTGATGTTATCTTCTATATATATAAAAATAAGTCGGGTTTTCCTTCCTGACGATATAACTCCAGAACGCACTAACCGATTTCGACAATTTTGCATTCGTTGGAAAGGTTTCGCAAGGTTTATAGCTAAGAAAATTAGTAATGCATGGCATCGTGCCTTAATGCAAATTGCTAGAACTTCATGCACCGTAATTAAAAATTCGAGTAATAAAAATAATCAACATTAGTGAGAATTATCAGAATTATGCTTGGTTAAGTCAACGCGCAATTCTTGCCGCAAAGAATAATGATGTACACGCACTGAATTTCACCATCCAATCAAAAATTGCTGGCAATTTGGTGACATACCAATGATTCCGACTGGTCTTCCTTTTGACTTCAAACGATTGCAATTTCCAGTTCGCCTTGCGTTCGCAATAACAAGTCGCAAGGCCAATCGCTTAGTGTTTGCGGGAGAAATTTCAAATAGATTATTTAGAAAATCATTGTTTTTCACATGGGCAGTTATACGTTGCCTGTTCACGAGTTGGAAAACCATCCGCTTTGTGTTAACGTCGGACCAAAAAACAAAAAATGTGGTTTACCAAAGAGCACTTCAATGAAATGGATAATTTGCGGATTCACTTTCATTTACTTAGAGAAGTTCAACTAAAAACACTTCATTTTTGTAACCGAAATAAATTCATTACTGTTGTATAATAAAATCATTTTTTTCCTTTTCAAATATAAAACAAACAAAAAATTCCTTCATCTTTCTCACGAAATCATCTGATGGCGAAACGGAGTTCGTCGGGTTTGCTAGTTTTGAATAAAAAAAATTAGATTATAGAGAAGGGGTGCTAAGTTCTGGATGAGATAAGCCTAATTCCAAAATTTCACGAAAATTGAATCAAAATAAAAACAGTCGGTAATATCCAATTTTTCGATCTATCATAAGTATCTACTTACATCGTATCCGCAAGTCGGTTTCTTCTGAATTTTGTGCCTGTACTCCTGGTACTCTTCCTCCGAGGAAACAGTGGCGTGCCTGATGCGGTTCGTCCTGTCGCCGGCGTAACGACACTGTACGCTTGCGAAAAGTGCCAGGGCACATAATGCCAGCACTGGTGCCCTTGACATTATGACTGAATAATAAAAAAATAAAAAATTAATGCTAAATGAAACTAGTGGTGCATGGCATCGTGCTTTAAAGCAATTAGCTGAAACTTTCCGTACCAGAATTAAATATACGAGGAAAAAAATCAGTAATCAATAAATATTGGTCAAAGATTAATAACAATTGTTTTAAACATTTTCAAAGAGATAGTTATAATCACTATATATTTATCGTTTATAAAATATATACTGAGGATCTTATCGCTCAAAGCACGTGAGAAAGTCTACTTTAGCAAGAGATGCCGAATGAATCCAACTGAGGATATATTTCTTATGATCAGAATAAAGCATTTGAAATATACACTTTCGAACTGAACTGTAAAGAGATTCATATTTGAAGTGTAAAACTTCATGTATTTTTGAAAAATTTGAAAAAAAATTGCTGAAAATATTGAAATTTGCTTGAACTGTATAAGCAAACTTTAAAAATTAACAGTCTTGGTACGGAACTCAACAAAATTAGTACTCGTTTTTAAAAATCCTATCAAATATCTGATAATTTCATGTGCATATGTCTAATGTTCATTTTTGACCGCCAAATATCAATTTTATTTTACTTTTCCTCTCTATCTCCAAAACCGCTAGACCTGCCTTACCAAAAATGTCTCAATCAATTCTTCATTTCGTCAATACAAGTAAAATGTTTTTTGAAAAATTCAAATCGTAGACGAAAAACTGTATCCAAACATACATACATATATACATACACACATACATCAATTTTTTCTAAAGTATGCCAAAATGTTCAGAAACCTCTGAAACGTAAAGATATGCAAAAAATTTTATTTTCGATTTTTTTGCGATAACTATAACTTGCTATACGGGACGTTAATTTAAAGAAACTAGTGGTGCATGGCATCGTGCTTTAAGACAAATTGCTGGTACTTCCCGTACCGTAATTATTAAAAGCTTTAAATTCTTTTAAAAACTTTTGAGATATTTGAGAAATTAGAAATTTTTGAAAAAAATAGATTTTCTGTAGAATTTGACTAAAATTTGTACCCAAACACACACACTCACACACATACATCAATTTTTCTAAGGTATGCTAAAATGTTCAGAAATCATTGAAACGTACAAATATATAAAAATTTTCATCTACGATTTGTTTGCCATTGCTATAACCTACCTTCCTACTGGAAGTTAATAAAATTGTTATTATGGATAAATTTAAAATAAAACAGACATCTACCCAATTAATAGATAGAAACCTAAATTAAGCTTTAAAAAAAAACGATAAATCTCTTTACATTTCGAGCCCCAATTACAAAAAAAACCACAGAAATAAAAATACTGATAAATAAAATTTCATTTATTTTAGAGCTTTTGATCAGAATAGACCAAAGCTTATGGTCAAATTTTTTTTCAAATTATTAACTTTTTAATTTTTCACTAATGTAAATTTTATTTTAAGTATTTCTACTTCATATCATAATGCAAGGTTTCATACAAAAAATACGGAAATGCAAAGTATGTACAAAATCAATATATGTAATAATAAACATTGATAAGGATATGTAGATAAAGATATAAAAATATGTATGAAATAAGAAAAATGTATATAAATTAGATAAGTGGCTAAATTTAATGCCAAGAATAGCTTACTGGTAGCGTGTTCAATTCACACGACAGGGATCTTCGGATCAAATCCTGTCATTGACTTAGAATATAGAAAAAAAAATGTATAGTTAATTTGAAATCAAATAAAAATTGTGTTGTTAAGTAGAATTTGAAAAAAAATAGGAATAACAGAGTTCGAATAGCTGAATTGTATTAGGAGTAAGAAGATATTGGAATTAGAAATATTGGAACTGAGCTGAAATTAAAAAAAGCTGGAAGAGAAAGAAACGAAGTGGAATGAAGCTAGAAGTTAAATAGAATTAGAAATTTGAAAAAAGAACAAGAATTAAAGAAAAAATAAGAAGAATATAGAATAGGATACATATATCGATTGAAAATGATATAAAAATTAGAATGTAAATAAATAAAAATGTTGTAGGTGGCTAAAAACTCAGAGTAAAAACTGAAAAAAAATAATGCCAAGAATAAATAAGAAATTTAATAAAAATTATTTACCTATCTACCTCTTTTAATTTTCACACAAAACAACTATTTATGATTATATCTCTTCCTGACCGCACTGTTTGGTAACAGAAGCCGGACTGACTGGTTCGCAGTCGCGCTCGTCCGATTAATAATAATAAATATTTTGTTGTCGTATTTTATCTAACGTCATAAGAACCCCATGCACTTGACAAACGTGCGATTTACCACAATAACCAAAAAGAAATCCAATTATAACAAGACGATTTTCAAGCACCAAAGTAGATAAGTAAATAGTTTTTTTTCTATAAAAATGATTAAAATCTGTATTTTTCTATATTATTGTTTTAGAGGGATTATAAAATGTACTAGTTTTCAATTCACAACTATAAGAACTCTCTATAAACAGTTTTGCACGATGCTTATTTCTAATAATCATTCATTTATAAGTGATTAGAAGGCTCTCCATATATTACCCTAAGTATTTGAGATATATATTTTAGTTTTATTTTAAACGCTATGTGAGGGCCTTTACAGAAAAAAGTCTATTTTCACTTAGAATTTATATTTCAAAATGAAAACTCTCATATCATTACTGCTTGATATCATGCTGTCCGAGATAGATATCGAACCGTTGCTTGACAGAGCTTTCATCACCAATCCACAGATGCCATAATACTGTAGAATATGAGATTTTTTATAAAATCGTTGAACATATATAAAAACCAAATTTAAAACTGATTTATATTCAATATATAAATAAACGTTAAATTACTTTTTTCATTATTATAGTGGATGGAGTGTTTAATTTGTACAGAAATGTCCTTTATCATTTCTTTTCGAGATAAGTCGAAGTGGCAAGCCCAGAAGCAATTGTCACTGACCCGGTGTTTTTGCTTCCCATCACTAAGCAAAAAAAAACAGGCATTGGCGTAGGAAAAAAATAGATTTTTAAATTACTTTAGAAAATTAAGGGACCGATTCTGCCGCATAACAATGTAATGGCAAGGCTATGTTATGAAGAACTTTCGATACAAATTCGTTCAGTATTCAGTATGATTCAGTAGCATAATGTATAGAAGTTGGAGCGTAACATGGCCTTGCCATAACATTTTTTTGTTGTTCGGCATAATCGGTCCTAAATAAGGAGTATACTGAAAACAAAGGAGAGGCCGATATCAAATATTTTAAAAGTGAAAAAAAATTAGGAACTGCACTGTAGTTCTTTAAAGTTATCATGGTTGTATAAAAGTTGGTCATATTAATTTGACTTAAAATAAGTCTGTTATCGAGTTTAAAATAAAATCTTAAAATTAAATATCATTTAATGTCCATCCAGTACTACATCCAGTGATGGTGATGTTAGTACAAAAAAGATTAAAGAAAATAGGGTTTGTTTGCTAATTAGTCAAAACTAAAATGATTGTTAGAATTATTTAGTTTTTTCGTTTTAAAGATGATCTAATAACGTCCCTATAACTTTCTAGCTAATAGAATGTTGGGTTATTAAAAACGAGTAAAAATTTCATATGATTTCGAAGCATTTGCAATAAGTAATAAAATTATTTTATAGATTAAATCAAATGTTAATTTTCATAACGACCTAAATATTAAATGATAATATTTTAATAATACCGATTATCTGCAGACATTTATCAAAAATTTCTAATTTGCAAAATTTATTGAAAGTCATGCAATGAGCATCTGATTTTATTCAAATTTGATAAGATTTTAATTTATAGATATTTAATTTACTTTGTGATAATTGATATATTTATTTAAACGGTAACATTCATTTATGAAATAATTATCTAATTAAAAACATCTATAGATAAATAAATTAATTCTTTTTAGACAGTGTTGAAGAAGAAATTTAAGATCTTATTAAAACTGTGATATATCAGAATAATTGTGTGATAAATCACAAATTTTTATATTAACTTATATATGTATATTTATTTATTTATTATATGATGGAATTTATTATTTTTATCAATTCTCTACAAATTTAAATTAAGGCTATGATGAAAGTTGAATTTAATATACTCATTAAATTTTTATATATAAAATTAAGTGTTGAGTAGCAGATAATTTTAATTTTCGAAAAACTATTTATTATTACACGTGATAAATTGTACTTATTAAGAAAGATACAAATTTTATTTTATTCATTTATTATTAAATAATGCTATGTTACAGAGCTGATATTTTAACAGCTCTGTTCAATAGATATTAATCATAGTTATACATTTTTATAGTTTTTTAGGTATTTAAATAAATTTCAAACTTGTTAATGTGTTATTTATTTAATTATATGTAAGATTTATTCAAAATAAAATTAGTATTTAAACTTCTTCAATTTCGCGCCTTATATGTGAGTTGTCATTTGCGATAACTTCACGTCACTCTGCGTGTCAAACAGTAAGTGCTGCCAGCATCGACATATCCAATCCAAACTTGCACACAAGTTTTGCATGATTTGTCATTTTTCCACATAGTTTTTGTGCATCATTTTATCTTTAAAAATATAACAAGCGAGGGTAAATTTAATTCCATTGTTTTTAGTGGTTTGTGCTAAGCCGGCTCACCGGTTTTTATATCCGTAATGCAAAAAGTTCTATAAAACAAACACTACACATTTTGCTTTATTAAAGTGTGACTATTATTAATTTAATCATGACGGTGCCTAATAAGATGGATGTAGATCGCGGTGAGGGCTTTCGCCCTTACTATATCACTAAAATAGAGGAGTTGCAGTTGGTTGTTGCTGAAAAAAGTCAAAACTTGCGACGTCTGCAAGCCCAAAGAAATGAACTCAATTCTAAAGTAAGAATGCTAAGGGAAGAACTCCAACTTTTGCAAGAACAAGGTAGCTACGTTGGAGAAGTTGTAAAGCCCATGGACAAGAAGAAGGTTTTAGTCAAAGTACACCCTGAAGGTAAATTTGTTGTCGACTTGGATAAGAATATTGATATCAATGATGTTACACCAAACTGTCGTGTAGCTCTGCGTAATGAAAGCTATACTTTACACAAAATTTTACCTAACAAAGTTGATCCATTAGTCTCTCTCATGATGGTTGAGAAAGTCCCAGATTCAACTTACGAAATGGTCGGTGGTCTAGATAAGCAAATCAAAGAGATTAAAGAAGTAATTGAATTGCCAGTGAAACACCCTGAATTGTTTGATGCTTTGGGTATTGCTCAACCTAAAGGTGTGTTATTGTATGGCCCCCCTGGTACCGGTAAAACCCTGTTAGCCCGTGCTGTAGCCCATCACACAGAATGTACTTTCATCAGAGTCTCAGGCTCAGAACTTGTACAAAAATTCATTGGTGAAGGCAGTCGTATGGTGCGTGAACTATTCGTCATGGCCAGAGAACATGCACCCTCAATCATCTTCATGGACGAAATCGATTCTATCGGTTCATCACGTATAGAATCAGGCAGCGGTGGAGACTCTGAAGTGCAACGTACTATGTTGGAACTTCTTAACCAACTGGATGGCTTCGAAGCAACTAAAAACATCAAAGTAATCATGGCAACCAACCGTATTGACATCCTAGATCCAGCTTTGCTCCGTCCTGGTCGCATTGACAGGAAAATTGAGTTCCCACCACCGAATGAGGAAGCTCGTTTAGATATCTTGAAAATTCATTCAAGGAAAATGAATTTGACTAGAGGAATTAACCTGCGCAAGATTGCTGAGCTCATGCCAGGTGCTTCTGGAGCTGAGGTGAAAGGAGTGTGTACGGAAGCTGGAATGTATGCTTTGAGGGAACGCAGGGTACATGTTACACAAGAAGATTTTGAAATGGCGGTGGCTAAGGTTATGCAGAAGGATTCGGAGAAAAATATGTCCATCAAGAAGTTATGGAAATAATGGGATAATATAGTTGTAATTAAATTTCTTTATTAAATGTGTTTTTGTAACAAATAAACATCTGTTTATTGATTTTTTTCTTTCACTTTAAACAAGGGCTTTTGGTTTCAGGATAATTTAGAAATATACATATATTTCTTTAAGAGTTCCTAATATTTCAATGCAGTTTTTAACTTCCCGTAGGGCAGTTATAGTAATGGGCCAAAAATCGAAAATGAAACTTTTTGCATATATTCACACGTTTCAAAGGTTTCTGAACATTCTGGCATATCTCACAAAAAATGTATGTATGTGTGTGTGTGTATGGATACTATTTTTTGTCCAACTTTTCAGGCACACGGATCAACCGATTTGAATGGCTCAAAAAACATTTGTTTTCTATTACTAGGGAGATGTACTGATTAGTTTCTGGCAAAGGTAGGTCCAGCCGTTTTGGAGATACGGGACAAAAAGTGCCAGAAATGATAACTGGTTAAAAAAAGTCAATTTTCCTCAAAAATTTAAAATTTCTCAAAAATCTAATTTTTGCAAAGTTTAAAACAAATTGAATCTTTTCTACAAAAAGTTATTTTTTCTCAAAAATTCAAAATTTTTTAGTTTAAAACAAATTGAATATTTTTTAAAAAAGTTATTTTTTCTCAAAAATTTAAAATTCTCAAAAATATATTTTTTTTTTCAAAAATTTATAACAAATTGAATCTTTTTTAAAAAAGTTATTTTTTCTAAAAAATTTAAAAGTTCTCAAAAATATAATTTATTCAAAGTTTAAAACAAACTGAATCTTTTTTTTTTAAAGTCATTTTTTCCCAAAAATTTAAAATTTTTAAAAAATCTATTTTTTTCAAAGTTTAAAACAAATTGAATATTTTTTAAAAAAGTTATTTTCTCTCAAAAATTTGAAATTCTCAAAAATATATTTTTTTTCAAAATTTAAAACAAATTGAATCTTTTTTAAAAAAGTTATTTTTTCTAAAAAATTTAAAAGTTCTCAAAAATATAATTTATTCAAAGTTTAAAACAAACTGAATCTTTTTTTTAAAAAGTCATTTTTTCCCAAAAATTTAAAATTTCTCAAAAATCCAATTTTTTCAAAGTTTAAAACAAATTGAATCTTTTTTAAAAAAGTTATTTTATCTCAAAAATTTGAAATTTATCAAAAATCTAATTTTTTCAAAGTTTAAAACAAATTGAAACTTTTTTAAAAAAGTTATTTTTTCTGAAAAATTTAAAATTTCTCAAAAATCTATTTTTTTCGAAATTTAAAAGAAATTGAATCTTTTTTAAAAAAGTTATTTTATCTCAAAAATTTAAAATTCCTTAATAATCTAATTTTTGCAAAGTGTAAAACAAGTTGAAACTTTTTTAAAAAAGTTATTTTATCTCAAAAATTTAAAATTCCTCGATAATCTAATTTTTGCAAAGTTTAAAACAAGTTGAATCTTTTTTCAAAAAGTTATTTTTTCAAAGTTTAAAACAAATTAAATCTTTTTTAAAAAAGTTTTTTGTATTCAAAAAATTAAAATTTTCTCAAAAATCTAATTTTTTCGAAGTTTAAAACAATCTGAATCTTTTTTAAAAAAATTATTTTTTCTCAAAAATTTAAAATTTTCTCAAAATTCTAATTTTTTCAAAGTTTGAAACAAATTGAATCTTTTTTAAAGAAGTTATTTTATCTCAAAAATTTTGAATTTCTCAAAAAACTAATTTTTTTTGTAGTTTAAAACAAATTGAATCTTTTTTAAAAGTTATTTTATCTCAAAAATTTAAAATTTCTCAAAAGTTTAAAACAAATTGAATCTCTTTTTAAAACACTATTATTTCTCAAAAATTTAAAATTTCTCAAAAATCTAGTTTTCTCAAAGTTTAAAACAAATTTAATCTTTTTTAAGAAATTTAATTTTTGGTACGGAAGTTCCAGCAATTTGCCTTAAGGCACGATTTCATACACCACCAGTTTTTGACAAATTTACATGTAAGCTGTAAATTTGTCTATTTCTGAAATGTATAAAATAAGAAAAAAACAAAAGTTTATAACATACCTTTTATTTTCCTTAAAACTTTACAAAAATGAAAGATTTTTTCACTGTTTTTTTCCAAATTTTTCATGTTACCATTTGTTACCCTTCTTTTTCTTCTTCTGGGTAACTTTACGTTGCTGCTGCCTTGGTCCCTGGGCATCAGGAGTTGTTTGGGGCACAGGTGAATTTTTATTTTGCAAATTCTGTGCTTTGGTCATATCGCTAAAGAAAAAAATAATAATAAAATATTGAGTTAAATATATAAATAATACATTTTGTTTTCTATATTTTCATAACACTTACTATTGATCAGCTGCACCGGTAGCCATACCCTGAGAACCTTTAATAATATCTCGAGTCCTCCTGTCTCTCTTCTTCCTGAAACCTGTCCGTTCATGCTTTGGTAACCAACGTTCCGGGTCAGGTGTTTGACTGGCATCATAATTTTTAGGAAGTTTTCCTTTCCTTTTGCGGTTTTTCTTGGTTTTGCTTTTTTGCAGCAGTTCAGTACCAGGAGTTCTGGAAAAGATCGGAATATATTTATAAACATAATTTGTTAAACTAAATACTTCGGTTGCAAATATGCTTCTAAAATAATTTTATTATTTTTATTTTTATATATAAAATAATTAATTAGTTAACTAAAAACTTATAATTTAAAAACACTTAAAAAAAATTGAAACAAAATATTTCTTTCAATAAAATACCTAAAAATTTGTAAAAAAAATACTTATATTGTAAAAATACTTATCAATTTGTTTGGAAAAATAATAATTATAATATAAGACACTTATAAATTTGTTAAAAGATCATAAAATAACCTAAAATTTGTTAAACAATATAATTATATTGTAAATATTAAAATACTTATTAAATTGTTAAAAAATACTTGCAACAAACAAACTATTTATATTGAAAATAATTAAAATTAACTGAATATAAATAAGTTTATAGTAAACTAGTGGGGTGGGTGGCATCCTGCCTTAAGGCAAATTGCTGGAACTTCCCGTACCGTAACGAAATATTCGAGGAATATTGAATGTTTTCAAATAGATTATTATAAATATTGTAACATTGTCTAATATTTATAAGAATTATATAATCTGAATTGCAGAGTTGAAATTATTTGTTTAAAGTATAGTAGAACTATAGTCAGAATTAAAAATAAAATCTGAATTATTTTCGATATACAAAAAATTAAAAAAAAAAAAAAAAGAAATGGGACAAATTTTTTTTTCCAAAATCGATTATTTTGTTAAGACAAGCAGAAAGTTCTTTCAATCAATTGAATCGGACGCTTAGTTCTCTCAAAAACTGCTATTTTTTGTACATTTAGCTCTGTATCTCCGAAATGGCTGGGCCTGCCTTTGCGACAAACTAATAACCCCTTCTCCCAATCATTACTAATTGAATGTTTTTTAGATCATTCAAATCGGATGCTCCGTTCTCTCAAAACTCGATTTCTACTTTCCGCACTCTTTGCTCCTTATCTCCGTACCTGCTGGACCTGCCTTTGCCAAAAACTAATAAGCCCATCTCCCTATCAATAGGAATCGAATGTTTTTTAAACCATTCAAATCGGTTGATCCGTACGCCCGAAAACGTGGGCGAAAATTTGTATCCATACATACATACATACACACACACACATCCATTTTTTCTGAGGTATGTCAAAATGTTCAGAAACCTTCAAAACGTCGAGAAATGTAAAAATTTTCAATTCCGATTTTCGGCCCATTACAATAACTTACCCTACGGGAAGTTAATAAATTAAATGAATAAGTAATATAATATTTAATAGTTAATAAACTTATTATAATATCATTATATTGATGGCTTGTAAAATAAATAAATAATAAATTCTAGTAAGTCTTTACCCGGTGATGCTTCAACCCGTGATACCGGCTTCTTATTTTTGGAACCCATAGCCCAATTGGTATTTTCCAAAGTTTCCAAATCGTTATCAGAAAGACCTAGAGTTGGCAGTCTTTGACTAGCCTAAAAATACATACAAAATATTATTTTGTGATCAAAACAATAGCGTTAAACTGTATATATACCTTAAATGCTTTACCAGCATCAAATTGCACATAAGCAACTACTAATCTAGCCAACGTTTTAACATCATTTGGATTGATTTTCAATAGTTGCTCCAAACTAGAAGCTGCAGTCTCTGGTTCTCCGCCACGAAGATGGAAATCAGCAGCTTGTCTCCACATGCTTTCTAAATCACCTGCACTTTCCTACAAAGAAGTAAATAGAATTATTTTAATATTAGTAAATATCATATCTTATATATAAAATTCTTCTGTAATGATGTATGTATATATGCTCCTCCTAAACGATTGTTCGGATTGTGATAAATCTTTCTGAAGTTTGTTAAGGGATTTTTTTAGGATTATAAAAATATAGTAATATTGTAGAAATAGATGAAAAAAAATGCAAAAACGATATGTCATTGAAAATATTTGAGATATTGTTTGGCACTGAAAACAAATAAAAACTGTCATCTGCCAAAAATTTCAATTTACTTATGAGCCTAGACAATATTAGAATATGTATAATGAATTCATGATTATGAATAAGAAAAATGAAATGTATACATATTATTGCCAAAAAGCAGCTGAGATGTGCCAGAAATTAAAATAATATAAAATACAGTATATGTTAGCAGATTGAATGATACACATACGAACAGGATTTGACAAATTAATTTATTCAAAATATGAAATAAAGTAATAATCAGGGCCGGCTTAGAGGACGAAAACACAAGATTCGGATATGAAATTTTAAATATAGTTTATTTTTAATATCATTCAAGAAATACATAATTTCTTTGCATCTTTTACTAATCTTTGCATATTTTTAAAATACGTTAAAAATTTCACTTTAAAACAACAAATGGGGAAGTAAAGATGAATACATACAATTCGGCCCTTATGATATCATTTTAATAAAAAACTGTTAAAACAGATAAAATAATAGGCAGGGGGTGCTAGAAAAAAAAGCATGTGAGCGCTAAGGACCCCAGGAGCATTCCTGGTAATAATGTATATTAAATTATTACTAAGAAAAATATAATTTAGATATTATAATTACTAAAAACCATTTAAAATATGATACGAGATTTTAAAAATTATAGGCAACATTATTGGAGCAATCATTTTGGGTGGAAAAATCCAAGGTGATATTGTACCTTTACCGCGGATACTAGATATTAATTTTTTTGAATTTGTTATACCGTTTAAAAGACTTCAATTTTCAATATAGCGTGGGAATTGAGACTCATATTTTATTTAAAGCAGTTGTTCTACATTTAACATCACTCATATTGATGTATATGCATTTTGGTTGCAGTTTGGTGTAAAGTGTAATTTAAAAAACAATAATTATTAATTATTAGTATAGGATATTGAACAATTATAGGCGCGGGTACAGGACGTCTGTCGGGTCATCTAGTATATACATATAATTAAAGGTACTACCTACCTTGTTCTTCTTATACCATTCAACAGCTTCTTTCAAAATTTGTGAGGCCTCATTAATTCTTCCTTCTCCTTGCAACAAAGTTACCAGCGCAGATACAATTCCCGGTTTAAATCTTGTTGCATCAAGATTCTTCAATTGCTTAATTGCTTCTGCACGATCACCCTAAATAATAGTAAAGTACAACTATATATATTACAATAACAATTGCTCTGATTTTATTATCTAAATGCTGCTTACATGAGATAATAATAATTGAACGCAAGCCAATCTTGCAGCAAGTGCTTCTTCAGGATATTTTTTAGCATGCACTTGTAAACCACTCGTAGCCTGTGCTATGTTATTCTCTTTAGCTAATAAACTAGCTTTGATGAGCTCAGAATTTAAAACTTCTGATGGATATGTTTTGTTTAAATGTGAACACAACTGTTTGCATAATTCACTCTGGAAAATAATAGAAAGTTAGACAAAAATATTTAGAACAAAAGTTCATTATAAACTAATTATTTTATGTTTGCAAAAGTTAGGCTGGGTTCATGGAAAAATATTCCTTTATCTAATTTATATTAAGTTTTTTTAAATATATATAAATATATATATATATATATATATATATATATATATAAATATATATATATATATATATATATATATATATATATATTATAATATTTTATATTTTTGATTATTGTTATTACTTGATTAGTGTACAAGGAAAGTAAAGCATTATTCAACGCTATAGTCTTTCTTTGTCTGTAATTCAATTTTTGTTGGGCAGCATCAGACGTGGCAGCTTTCATCTTTTTTTTAGAATCAAATACATTTTGATCTCCATTGATAGCAGTCAAATTATTACCAGCAACAGCAACTAGAGAAGCATCACTTGCTTTATGACGTAACGCCTCATTATATAATACTGTAGCCTCTGCAATACGACCTAGCTGTTGTTGACAATAGGCTTGTTGAACCCTAAAGAAGAACGATATAAATAAATAAAGGCTTATAGTATGTTATCAATACTATAATTTTATAATCTTCTTACTTTAATATTGCAAGTTCTTCCAGTATGTCCTCTTCAGACGCTCCATCTTCCTCAAGCATCTTCTTGCATTGTTCTTGACAAGCAATCAATTTTATTTCAGCCTCTTTGTACTTCATTTGTCCAACCAACATGCAAGCTACGTTATAACATAATTCATACGTATGCTCAGACTGAGGCTGTGTTAAAGGAGCTTTATCCTAAAAAATAATTTTTATAAAAACATTGTTATCACAGTTTTAATATAAATCTATTACTCTTACTGGGTTCTCAGTATACATATTTGCAATAACAGCAGACATATTAGTAGCCCTCTCATCTTCATAATCATCATTAGTATTTTTAACAATATCTCTATAAACACTCAAACACTCGTTATAATTTTCCAACCGGTATAAAATCTGTGCTCTAAGTTCTTTTAACTCAGACGTCAAAGTTCCTGCAGAATCTACTGTCGCCAATGCATCTTGAGGTTTATTGAGACGATATTCGCAGTAAGCTTTGTAGAAAATTAATTCTGGAGAAGGCTTAGAGATTGTAGATAATGCTTTATGGGCATCATTAAATTTAGATAATTGTATGAGTGATACAATTTTGCACTGGAAAGCTTTTGACTCATCAGGAGCAAGTTGGAGAACTGAAACAGTAATAATATATATATATATATATATATATATATATATATATATATATATGAATTAAATCGTGATTCAAATTCTACTAACTTTTGTTAGCTGCTTTCAAAGCCTTTTCATAATCCCCACTTTGACCATACTTATTTAATTCTATATAACCTGATCTGATATTATTTTCTTTTGGAGTAGCCATTATATGGATTTGTTTTTATTAAAAAACACAAACCATACACTTTTATTAAATTATTTTATATAAAACTCAAAAAATACATATATTTAAATACTTTTCTAATAAATGGCAGTAATGTCAATTTTTGACACGTTGTATTTGGAGAACCAGTCTGCGCAGGCTGGCCAACGTAATGGAAATATTAGGACGTAAACGCATATGATTATCAACCTATTTTTTTATTACTACTGCTACTCGCTCAGAGCGTGACTGCAGCGCCCATGCAGCACCGGAATAAATATGAACTAACTAAGGCTATCAGTGTGTGGTTTTTATGGGTTTTATATGTTTGTTAAAGAAAAAAGATATTAAATAATTGTTATAAATAATAATAAACATTATACAATAATAATGTGAGCGCTCAATGTTTATTGAAATTATTAAATTTACTTCAACGCACTTAAAACATAGTTAAGTGTAATGATTAATTTAATAAAGAAATGCAGTAAACATTTTTAAGGTTAAGTGCCTTAAAGCTTATCTCATGAGCTCGGAATAGTTCTTGATAAAAACAATATAATAATGATAAAAATATTTTATCAATAGAATAAGTAAATAATAAATTAATTTACTCATTCTTTTATTATTTTTGTTCAAACTAAAGACTTAGACATTATTATAAAGACATGATTTAGGCATTATTATAAAGAGAAGACCCATCAAATAAAATTGCAGGAAAAAAAGCGACTTTAACTTTTCGAGTCTTGTAAATTGAAGGAAATATTGTTGACTAGTAGGTTGGACTCAATACTTCGTCCGATTCACTGCAAATGCGATCATAGGGCTTGGGAACCCACGGTGATCCATCAACACTACAAATATATATTTTGCATTATTTCAGCATTGTATTAATTAAACTGATTGTAAAATAAACATTTTACGCTATGTGATAACTTTTATTTTTCTTTTAATCATAAAATTACATTTATTATATAATAACATGTAATTAATAGATAGATAATAGTTATACATAATCAATATACAATATATAAATATATATTTATCATTATTTCAGCCTTGTATTAATTACATTGTTTGCAAAACAATTTTTTCTAGTAAGCATTAAATTTTGATAAAATAACAATTTATTGACTTAAAATTTTTCTTACGTTATGATACTTACTTTATTCTTCTAACCGCAGGAATCCACTTTTCCCGTTGATTTTCTTTCCACTTATCTGTAGGAAATGTATAGAATTTGCAGTCACTTTTTTTGCTCTTATTTCTACAACCCACTACACAACAGCTGTGGTGGCTCATTCTTAATTATCTTATTTAAATTTGAAATAAACAAATATTGTATGTGTTTTTCTTTAAAATTTCTGTCATAATGACCTACTTTAATGCTCAAAGTAGCCACAACGAACGCTTCGGTCGATTTGACTTCCCCTTCCATGCCTTCGCACATAGCCAACAGAGGCTTAATTATTTAATAAAAGCATCTTTAAACACTTTTTTTTAAAATAACTTTCAAAACCATATATCAAATATTGCTAATTCATTTGAATATCAGATTTGAAAATCATTATTTTTATTTTTATCATTTTGATGACTATTAATTGCACGTGTGCCATCACCCTAATGTTTCGTTGGTAAAAGCAAGGTTATGTTAGCGGCGCGAACAAAATATAAATGTCACAAAGAGTTAAACTCATAATATTTCTTCAAATCACACATTTTATGCAAAAATAGCACAATAAAACAGTACCAAACTTGATAACAAATCAAGTTTTTGTGAGAATATGCTATAATTATCATACCTTGGCCAGTGTCTTGTTTCAAGTTTGATTTTTTTATCGTTTAACATGGATTCATCAGATTTATCAGATTTTAGTTCAATTTTACATGCCGCTGAACAATTAGTTGGTGGCACAGGAGAATCGAGACATTTACCTCGGGTCGAAAGATCTTTAGGACAAGTCTTGGAGGCTTCGCAAGAATTGCATTCTAGACTTGCTCAGGAAGGCACACAAGATGTCCAAGCGTTAGTAGAGGAAAAATTATAAAAGAAATATATTATGCACATTTTAAGCAAATTTTCCGAGAGCAACATCATTTATGTTGCTTTGTTCTAAACGTATTCTTGTAAACTTAAAACTCATTTTTCGTCACAATTAATTCTGATACATTCATTTTATTTTTAAATCTTACTTTCAAGCCTATATATTAGACATATTACTTGAAGAACAATACCATTTATTTGAAACAAGGATGTTTTATATATCTTTTACCAATTAACCTTAAATTTTTTATTTATTTTAGACATCTGTTGCTTGGATCAAAGGGTGTCGATTTAACAGAAATTTCACAAAAGTTACATTCATTGAGTTCGCAACGAACACTAGAACCTTTAGACCCAGTAGCCGACACAGACATTCAAAGTTTCTTAAGAAATGAAAAAGAAAATGCTATATTGTCTGTTATTGAAGAAGTTCACAAAAACGTAAGTATTAATGCATTTTGAAATCGATAATATAGTTAGTAAACTAAGCTTTTATAGATTTTGTTTGTAAAATATCATCCATGAAATATGTAATAATTTAAATTTAAGAATTATTATTATTAATTTATTATTATTTTTACTCTTTTGCAGTCATTCAAAGATGTTGAAAAAAGTCGCTGGGATCATGTACTGAGTGAATGGCGTCAGGAAAAATGTAAACTAATGGGAGCCTTAATAGGTCCTTCACAAAATTGGCTGGATTTAAATAAGAGCGTAGCCAGACACACAATCGTTCCAGACACCGCACCAACATCTGGTCAACCGAGTAATTTGGATAATAAAGAAATGGCTTATGCGAAAGAGGTTAAATAAATTAATTAGATTGGAACATTTATCTCAAGGAAGTTTGTTATTTACTATTTTTAATTTAATTTTTAGATTACTGATTACAATAAATTAGTTGTGCAAGGTGCTATGAGACCACATTTGGTACAAAAATTTGCAAATTTAGCCAACAAATTTTCAGATACTGTAAGTACATATTGGTAACAAAAATTAATTTCTCCGGACCTGGATGAATATTTTAATATGTTGCTTGTAATTTTTTTTTAGCGAGTTGCTAACTTATGGCATATATTACGATATATCACAGAATTTTCACCACTGCCTCACACTGAGGATCCTATTAAATCTCGAGTGGATTATGAAAATGCTATTGTGAAACAGGCTAAAAAATATTTAGAAGATAGGTAAACAAAAAATAATTAAATATATATATATATATATATATATATATATATATATAATTATAGATAATTTATCATTTATTATTTTTTGCAGATATGTAAATTACATGAACTCCTGTGTCTCCCAAAATTTAGCTCTGGCACAAAGAGGCGGCGAGCCAGGAACTTATTCCTTGGTTAGAGCTTTTGTTAGTCTACGAATGCAATCAGAAGCTGGTAATATGCAAGGATTACAAGACGGTGATGTGAACGGCAGGCCTTTGTGGCCTATGGTTTATTATTGCTTGCGTGCTGGAGATCTTCAAGCTGCACAACAATGCATGCAGAACTCAGGGTAAGGATAATTAAATTTGTATAATTATTTATTAACATCCCAAAAGAGAGAACATACAGACAACTCTCCTACAATGCAGTACTCTGATGATAACCGACTAATGATTAAACGCGGTTTTGTATATGTAGATAGTTTTATATATATAGAATATAACTTATATCTAGTTAATTATTTTTCAGCTCTGGTAATGAAGACTTCATACAAGTACTGGCTGAACGTATAAGGAAACCTGATCAAAGAGTGAGCAGTGCATTAGAAAATGCTTTGAGACTTCATTACAGAAGACATATAAGAAATGCTTCGGATCCATATAAGAGAGCTGTAAGTTATTCAATGATATTTTAAAAAACGCCGAGAAAATCCGATTCTCGATATGTTTTCTCGACGTTTCAAGTCATTCTGAATCGAATGAGAGCAAATTTGGAAAAAGTTTGTGTATGTGTATGTGTGCGTGATTACACACACATTTTTACCTTAACTCGACGTTTTCTCAAAAACGACTGGGCCGATTTCAAAAATTTAAAGGCCGTTCGATGTAATTCGATAAGGTCTTGCTTTTATCAGTTTTGTGCGGCGATCATCCAAGCCGTTTATTTTATTTATTAACTTCCCGTAGGGTAAGTTATTGTAATGGGCCGAAAATCGGAATTGAAAATTTTTACATTTCTCGACGTTTCGAAGGTTTCTGAACATTTTGGCATACTTCAGAAAAAATAGATGTGTGTGTGTGTGTGTGTGTATGTGTGTATGTATGGATACAAATTTTCGCCCACGTTTTCGGGCGTACGGATCAACCGATTTGAATGGTTTAAAAAACATTCGATTCCTATTGATAAGGAGATGTGCTGATTAGTTTTTGGTAGAGGCAGGTCCAGCAGGTACGGAGATAAAAAGCAAAGAGTGCAGAAAATAGAAATCGAGTTTTTGAGAGAACGGAGCATCCGATTTGAATGATCTAAAAAACATTCAATTCGTAATGATTGGGAGAAGGGGTTATTAGTTTTTTGCAAAGGTAGGCCCAGCCATTTCGGAGATACAGATAAATGCACAAAAAATGGCAGTTTTTGAGAGAACTAAGCGTCCGATTCAATTGATTCAAAGAACTTTCTGCTTGTCTTAACAAAATAATTGATTTTGGAAAAAAAAAATTTGTTTCAATTTTTTTTTTTTTTTAATTTTTTGTATATCGAAAATAATAATTCAGATTTTATTTTTAATTCTGACTATAGTTCTAATATACTTTAAACAAATAATTTCAACTCTGCAATTCAGTTTATATAATTCTTATAAATATTAGACAATGTTACAATATTTATAATAATCTATTTAAAAACATTCAATATTCCTCGAACATTTTGTTACGGTACGGGAAGTTCCAGCAATTTGCCTTAAGGCACGATGCCACCCATCCCACTAGTTTATTTCTTTATTTGTTCATAAGAAAGCCATAATCAATAATAATAGATTTTATTTCAGGCTCTTTCATAATTAATATTGAAAGGATAGTAATTTTATAATAATCATAGTAGCTGGACTCTGAAAAAAAAGAACTGAAAAAAGCATTCGAGCATTAAATACAATGTTCATCATCAAGTTCATCATATTAAAGTTATTAATCATTGATCAATATTTATTAATTATTAATTTTTTTGCTCAAATATTTAATTGTGGTACCGAAAGTTCCAGTAATTTGCCTTAAGGCGCGATGGCATGCACAACTAGTTGTATAAAAAATATAATCTTTTCCTAGGCTTATTGTATTGTCGGAGGCTGCGATGTAGTGGAAGAGCATTCACAAGTTTCAAGAACAGCAGATGACTTCCTATGGTTAAAATTATCTTTCATCAACTTAAGCGACGGTCAAGGCGGATGCATATCGTTTTCCGATTTACAAAAGACAATCTTAGAAGACTTTGGTAATAATTGTCACATTGTTCAACAAATACTTGTTGTTATAATATCGCCTAATATTTTATTTTATTTTTAGGAGAAACATACTACAATGCCGCTGAACATCCTTTTCTTTATGCTCAAGTGTTATTGCTTTCCGGACAATTGGAAGCTGCCATTGAATTTTTGAGCCGATCAAACAGACTACGCACTCATGCTGTTCATGCAGCATTGGCTTTAAATGAACTTTACATGTTGGGATGCCCGAGAAATGTTCAAGCACCTTTATGTAATAAAGGATAAATGAAATATTTTTAAATTTTTGGGTACTACAAGTATTTTTCTTTCAGTGTCTGCGGATATTGGGGATCCAGTTCCAGCAAGGCGTTTGAATTTAGCACGGCTTGTAATGCTTTATGTTAAAAAGTTTGAGATAACAAATCCCGCGGAAGCAATGCAATATTTCTTCTTTTTAAGGTACAAATCACAACATCATAATTAATGAAAATGTACTTAATTAAATTATTTTATCTTATAGAAATCTAAGGCATCCATCAGGAGAAGATCTGTTCACAATATGTGTTTCAGACCTAGCGATTGAAATTCGAGATTACGCCTTGATTTTTGGTAAAATTCAATCAAATGGCCAAAGATCTCGCGGTCTTATTGATCAATTCATAACTACACAAATTCAGCCGCAAGATATTTGTCAGTGTGTTGGGGAACAACTTGTTAAAAAGGGTTTGCTTGAGGATGCAATTACTGTATTTGAATTAGCCGAGGTAAATAATAATCAAACATAAAGTAATCAATATAAACTGTATTTTATTCTTTCTTTCTTTAGAATCACAACAAAGTATTATCTTTATACTGCACTTTGTTGTCTCAAGTGGTTCATCGACCTTCACAAACAGGTTCATTGAGAAATCGTTTGCAAAATGGTGCAGTTGAATTCAAAACAAGAATTGAGAACAGTCAAGCGCTATGCGATTCCGGAAAATTAGCCAGTTTTAATAATATTCTACAAATAATGAACTTCTTTGATGCTTTTCATAATGGACAACAATTGCCAGCTATGGAGGTGAGCAAAGATTTCTTCTTAGATCTTTCAAGTTTCTTTAATTCATAATTGTTTTTCAGATCCTGCGTGCATCCCATTTATTGCCTTTAACACTGATTGAAGTAGACGCTTGTGTGCAAACCTTTAAAGAATTAAGTTCAGAAGTTTGCAGGATAATCCCCGATCTATTATTAGCTGCCATGGATGTAATTTACAATCAATATATCACAATCAAAACAGACACTAAAGGAACACTTGATAAATTAAACCGGGATAAGGCAAGTAAAATAATCAAAAACCTGTACTGACTAGATATGATGCATTCAATTATTATTTTCTTATTTTTTACAGCAACTCGAGTACTACAGAGACCAAGCCAAAGCCTTAACAAACTATGCTGGAACAGTTCCATACAGAATGCCAGGGGACACAAATCAAAGATTAGTTCAAATGGAGATCTCGATGTACTGATTTTTATACAGGATGATTTTTGTTATCTGTATTAATTTTTTAATTGTAATAATAAAAAGATTTTCATAACTAAAAACTTGAACAATACGAATAATATTGTTTTAGAGTTGTTAGTATTTTAATCATTATATATATATATATATATATATATATATATATATATATATATATATATATGATTAGAATGTATCTTCAAGAAATAATAACAGTTAAAATTTAATATAATTATCAAATTAATGGCACAGCACTTAATTTCTATACAAAGTATATTAATTCTTTGAACATAGAATCTTTTATTTGAACTTTAAACATTTAAACTTTTTAAAGATATGAAAATATAAATTTACTATTCTTTTACTTCAAGAAAGAGGACGAAGGATTAAAAGCGGTGATAATTTTTTCAGAATCCTACAAAAAATTATAAAATATGACAACAAACTAATATTTTTACCCTAATAAACTAATATTTATAACAATTTACGTTAAATTATTATATATTAGTACTGAAAAAGGTTAAATAATATTTAAATTTGTATAAAGCAAAGTGTACATATATCAAATCTACAATTTTTTATATAAAAAATTTTCTATCACATATTTAAAGACTTTGCTTTTTTTATTCATATCACATATCCAAAGACTATACACATTGCCTTCTACAGTATATATTCAAATAGTTCACAATGTTTTAAATTTCGATTTGAATTTCGCGCTTTAAATTGTACAAGTGGCCACAGACTTTTTGACTCATGTTGCTAACTTCAATTGCTTCGCTTGTCAAAGAAATTTTGGTGAATTAACATGTCCTCGCGTTAATTAAGACTTTTTAATTAAATCTTTGATTAGTTTTAATTAATTTATGCATCAAAACATATAATTAATTTAGTAGATCAATTTGATATAATAAATTTATCGTAAAACGTTAATTAAAAGCTAAAAAATGGATATGTTTGGAAGTGCCTAGGTGTACCTTGAATAGTTTGATAAGTATCTTTTTCAGGGTCTCCATTTTGAATCAGTTTTATAATTAAACAATTTATTTACAGTGCCAATGTATCCTTTAATTATATACATGCAATTATCAATAGTATAATATATATATATATGTGCTTTTGTAGGTGCCTAGGTGTACCTTGAATAGTTTGATAAGTATCTCTTTCAGGGTCTCCATTTTGAATCAGTTTTATAATTAAACAATGTATTTACAGTGCCAATATATCCTTTAATTATATACAGGCAAATATCAATAGTATAATTTATATATGTGTTTTTATAGGTTATATTTAAGTACTTCCACCACATATCTGTTTTTATCGAATTCTAAATTCACGAAAGTCTCTAATATAAGTTTTGTGTCGTGTATTGTGTAAAGATTTTACTCGGACAATTGCTACAGGTCAAATAGACTTGTAAAAGACTAAAGTTATGTATTGATTCTAAAGTAGTGATTTTGTGTCGAGTACTTGAGATTTCTGGCAGATGCTCGAGAGGTGGTTCCAGTAATGACCCAATATTGAGAGCTACTGCAGAGGATTTCTAACAATGTAAGTGCAAAGCATGTTTTTTACATAGCGAGTCAAAGAATATTTTTCTGGAATTATATACTGATATTTATCGTACTATATCTGTTGCACCTATAATGTTTTAAATATTCAATGTTTAACTTATATATGTATATATATATATATATATATATATATATTTATATATGCATTAAGTTTTTCTTAATTTTGAATTTAAAGCAGTCAAATGATTTTGAAAATCTTTACTTCAACACAATATTGTTTGTCATCTTGAGTGAAACTATAATTTCAATAGAAATTCATAAAAAGATTACTTATAATTTATGTTCTGAAAGGAGTTTACAATTATTGACCGAGTTTGTGTTTTATGCTACTTTTTATGTTTGTAACAATAATATTTCTTATTAAATATGTATTTAATACTTGTTTTTCATATTAAATATGAAAATTAATTTGAAGGTGCCTTGAGAACTCGTCACTTTGTTATTCAATATCATTTATAAAGCAGTCTGTATATATTTTAGTGGAATATTTTCTGGCTCGTGCATTATTAATATAATTATATACATATATCTGCTGAAAATATTGTTTATATCATAATATTCAAGTCAATATCATTTTTTACACAGTATACCTTATACAATCTATTTTTTGTTAATTCAACAACTATTATGCGAATAAAAGATTTTAAATTAATTTGGCAGACATATGTGTAAAAGACTTCAGTTCTTATTTAATTTGTTATGGGGAAAACATGTTGATTCAGTCTTCTTTTATTTATTTATACAAGTGCCTTTTATACATGTTCTAAATCAATATTAAACAATAAAGTTTGTACTTCTCGTATGCATCAAAGATATTGAAAGTTACATTATTATTATTCCATAAATAGTCAATCACAAATTCTTTTGTTCTATAAATAGCAGATTTTGTGTGGAATTCAAAATTATTATTTATATTAAATTTTTGTTACCAAATTATTAGTTAACCAATACAGCTTTTTGAATGCATTGATTACTTGTTCGTTGAAGTGGCCCTAGCACCCCTCCTTGTGTAACTCCTAAATTGATGGTATTTTGTTACAAATTACAAATTACAAATTTACTTTGTTACAAAATCTCTTTTTATAACACCTCTTGTTCATTATTCTACGTAAACAATTTTTAAAATTACATTTCCAGTATCAAGAATCATGTGTTTTCCCTGTAGCGATGTTGACTGCATGAACATTCTTATTTATGGATAACACGATTGTTGGTTTTGATCAAATTATTGCAAATATTCAAATACGACTTACCAAATTGTTAATTAAATGCAGCTTTTAAAAGCCTTTTACTGTAATTTTATTTTAAATTCATTCAATTATATTGCTGCAGAGCTAAATGATAGATTTTTATTTTTTTATTGCTAAAAACAATTTTGATCAGGACATGCAATCAAAGTTTTGAAGAGTTGACTTGAATGATTAGACAAATCATAATTTTGTTTATAAGTTTATTATTCGATTCAAGTTGTAAAAATTATTTAACTCAATTTTTAAAGGATAATAATCAGCTCTAAACAGTTTTGAAGTTTTTAATGTTAAAGTTTTTGAACATTTTTTATTATTTCATTTTACAAGTTTTATTGAATTTCATTTATCGTTTTTTCCAATAATTTGTATATTATTCAAGTCAACTATATTTGTTTTTGACTCGATTAATTGTAAAGGTTTCACATGTTTTATCAAGTCATAGTATATAAACAATTTTGATTTGATTAATATCATTTCATTTCATAGATTAATTAAATAATTTGTTCGAATATTTTTTTTTCTAAGTCCAAATTTTCTGAATATAATTCTTTCGAATATTTTTGCTTTCTAAGTCCTTTCAGATAATTTTTTTTTTAAGTCCAAATTTTCTGAAACCTTTTCGATTAAGACGAGTTAATTTTGCATGCTATATCATCCCAAATGCAATCAAAGTTTCAAAGAGTTGACTTGAATGATTATACAAAACATAATTTTGTTTACAAGTTTATTATTCGATTCAAGTTGTAAAAATTATTTAACTCAATTTCTAAAGGATAACAATCAGCTTTAAACAGTTTTGAAGTTTTCAATGTCCATTTTGAATATTTTTTATTATTTCATTTCACAAGTTTTATTGAATATCCATAAAGGCTTTTTCTAATAATTTGTATATTATTCAAGTCAACTAAATTTGTTTTTGTCTCGATTAATTGTAAAGATTTCACATGTTTTATCAAGTCATAGTATATAAACAATTTTTATTCGATTAATATCATTTCATTTCATCGTATAAAAAAATAATTTGTTCGAATAATTTTTTTTTTCTAAGTCCAAATTTACTGATTATAATTCTTTCGAATATTTTTATTTTTCTAAGTCCTTTCAAATAATTTTTTTTTTCTAAGTCCAAATTTTGTGAAACCTTTTCGATTATGACGGACGACTTAATTTTGCATGCTGTATTATCCCAAAGCCAACATTCGAATGAATGAGACCCATATTGAAAATTTCATAGTGAGAAAATTTTATTGGGGCAAAGTTAAAAATTTTAACTAAGTCCCAGTCATTTTTTCTCGTTGTGAAAATTTCAATGTGGACTTCGTTTCATTCGAGTGTTGGTTTTGGGAATTGGTGTGAGTGAACACTAAAAAACATAAAAAAGTTTCAACGCTGAACAGAAAAGAGAAAAAATTATCTGGGACTTAAGGGGTTTTTTTTTTGGTCTCTCCACCTCCCCCTTCCCTCTCCTCCTCCTTCTTTTTCCTTTTTTTTCGCTTTTTTTCACTTTTTTTCTTTTTTGGTGTTTTTTTTGCATGTTGTGGTTTTTGTGGTCTCTCTGTGTGTAACCTCCTCGCATCATGACCCTCAGGTTGACCATCACTTGGTGTGTTCGTTTTATGACCCTTTGCGCCTGCCAACAGCCAGCCACCAGCACTGCTCCATTTTTTCTGCTTCATAGTTGGTCTTTGTCACCTTCAGCTGGATTCGATCTGCCTCACCTTCTGCCTCCAGAGTTGTGTTGCCGAGTATGCAGTCACCTTAACCACTCGGCTATTTGATATATTGATGATAATAGTTATTTTTATATTCATATACTGTATTAATATTGGATTTGAATAAAGCATATGTCTCATACACATCTCTCTTATTCATCATCTGCCTCTACCCTTCTCTTTTCCCCGTTCTTCCTCAACCTTCGTCATCTCTGTCTTTATGTATCTCTCTTACAGTCAAGTGCGAACCTTGAGTTTTTTGTTTTTCAGAAATATTCTAAGTGTCAAGGTCGAAATGCGCCACCTGAATTTAATATTTTGAACTAATATTTGATAATTTTGAAAAACTATACATTTGATTTTTCAAGCCTCTTCGAGGATTTGAACCAGGGAACATTGAGCAACCGTAGTGGTAACTTAACGATCTCGGCCAATTCGTTACACAGAACCTCTCTCTGATTTGTGAAAATATAAAGTCTCATTTATGAAATGAAAGATATAAGTTTCCTAAAAATGTGTTACTTCAAGTGAGCAAGTGGCCGAGGTCGTAAAGCTACGGTTTAGGCCAGAATAACAGTTTGAGGTTCGTCAGTTCGAACCCCATTTATCTGAAAAAAAATCAGCATTCAGAAATTTTTCTTACTGTGTAAATAAATAAGATATATAGATAAATAATTAAATTTACTGAGTGTCAGTATTACAAAAATCGACATAATATATATGTGCATATATATAACTATATATATATATATATATATATATATATATATATATAAATATGTATGTATGTATGTATGTATGTAATATAAGAAATAGTAGAAAGAGGGTAATTTTTATTAAATTCGTATTTACCCCTGATTAGCAGTAAACCAAACCTACTTTGGTGTAATTTAAAATTTTTACACCATTTACTATTTTCCCATACAAAACCGGTTTTTCAGGGGCAGCCAAAATTGGCCAAAATCGTGACTTTCAAATGCAATTTTGAGGCCCTTAATGAATGAAATTAATAATTTTAATGAATGCATTGTGCAGACTAAAGTACAATCTTTATACCAAACCAAAAAAATTACAAATTTATCATCGTCTTCATAGTTAAAATTAGCTTCAAAGTTGTCAATTTTTCAAACTTCAAATTGGTCGCAAGGGTGGAAGAAATTTTTTTTCCAAAAACTGATTTCATATTCGAAATCAGCGCCTCGAAAACTATCAGAAT